GACTGGATACACACCCTAAGCCGCGTGCACTTCGACGACGATGACAACAGCCGTCTGAACAGCAACCAAGCGGGCGCCGGCAGCACTAGGAGAGAAGCGGTCGGGGGAGAGTCCACTGCTTCTGCGACCGCCGGAGGCGGGGCGGAAAGGCGAGCGTGCGCGAGCCTCCTGAGCCGGTGCCTCGCGGTGCGGAACTCGGCGAACGTGCTGGTGTCCAAGTTCGTCGAGCTAAGGATCGACGAGGAGGGGGGTCGCGGGGCATCATCTTCGTCGTCGTCGTTATTATCGTCTTCGTCTGTTGCCCCGACCGCGAAACAACCCCGCCTTCAGATCCGAATGGATGGTTTGCGGGGAAAGGGGAGCGGAGGAAGAAGCTGAAGCACTCCGAGGTGGCGGGTGTGTGTTGCCGGCGTATTTATTCCGGGAGCAGTTTGGGGTGTAATTATCTGAAACGCACCAGCCGGGGTCACAAAGGAGGGCTATTTTTTTTTTTCTCCACGTTTCTTTTGCTGTGCTTCCCTTGTTTGTTTTCGCGAGAGAGAGGTGTTGAGCTGCCCCTTTCCCTCGTCGACAGCAGTGGGGTCGGATTTTGTTGTAAAACACACGAAAAACTTGTTTTTCCAAATCCAGCGGGCATGCACGGCGAGAAAACAAGTCTTCTTGGTTCGGGAGGCCGCCGAGATTTGAACCCACGTCCCAAACGTTGAGCGGTTGCGAGGTCACCAACTGAAAATTAGTTCGTGTCACTCGATCATGTTGTCTGTGGTTGTTTGGATCACCTCAAAGGTTATTCGTAGGCCAATCTGTGGCGTAAATCTTGTGGATTCATTCAAAGCGCTTATTTTTTCGCGGTTTTGATTGAAGCAGGAAACAAGCCATCAACAAGCGGCAGGTGTTTAGTTGCAACTGGGCAACAGGCTGCTGCAAGACAAAAGGTTCTGGTTTTCCACACATTGCTTTTGGCGGCGGTGAAATTCCCTGCGGTAGCTGGAAGCGAACGTCAGATCCCGGCTCCCCGCACCTCGTAGTATGAAAACAAAGAATGATTCACGTGTATTTTCACCTCCGCGGTCGTGTGCCTTATTGCTCACCACCCGACACAACAATATACCCCACGACGAAATGCGTCTTCTCATGTGGTACGTGCATCGCAACCCTACACAAAGAACCTGCCTGTTATTGCATGAGATTGCCCTTAAAAACGGCAAATATGCAAACTCAAGTCTTGCGATCATCGCGAATGCCGTTTGCTGTTGTTTGCTGTCGTCGCACCACCACTTCCACCACCAGATGTCTGCTTGCTATGTGCTGCATCAGCACGCGCACACGATCTACCAAAATGCCCTACACACACGGCCTACACAATTCGCCCTTGCGTTGTTTCTACTCAGAAATGCAAGAAAATCTAAAACAAGTCGCCGCCGCTTGAGCCGAGGCTTCAAATCACAGGATCACCAGCACAGCCGCCTACGCTGCTCCTTCTTGTCCCCCAAACGCGAGTAGACCCTCTTGTTTTCGTTGTCAAACTGAGAGTCAAGGCCCCAAACAATCAAGCGAGAAGCAAACTCCTTTCCCGCTTCTCCCCTCGCTTTGCCGATGTGACGCGGGGACGCAGCAGTCTCGCGTGTAGGTCGCCGCACCAGTTTTGACCTCTCGACTCAAACTTCACCCCAAGCTTGCAATTAGAGCAAGCCAACGGTGTCTTGCTTGCTTTCGTAAAAAACAAGAAAAGAAACTTTTCAAGCTACGACAAGACGCCCGGCGCCACGTGCGCCAGGTGCAGTAAGGGAGTCCGCCAATCGCAAGCACTGTGACCCCCCCCCCGTTAAAACCCAAATGCGAAAGCAGTACAAGGGAACCCTCAAAAACTGAAAAGTCAACATCACGACAACAACGACTCTTATCGTTCAATAAATACAGAAAGGACGGCCAGGAGACGCGTCCACCTCGCGGAAATGCGCCCGGTCTTTTCGCTGTTCGCAACAAGAGTTCTGACATCGACCACCACCGCCTGGGGGGATCGTCAGCCCGTTGGCATTTCGTCACACCAAGGTACAGTAGTTCATCGCCCGCCTGTCGCGAGAAACCCCTCGTGAAAGGGTCCTTAAATCCAGGAAAACGCACAAAAATATTCTGCACAACGGACGGCTGGCTCGCCTGTGCGAAACGGCGTGGCGGTTTCGGGCACCGACCCGACTCGCCTCGCCTCGCCTTGCCACTCTCCGAACAAGACAAAAAAAAGGAGACAGCAAATGACCCCCACCACGCAGCAAGCGGACCGTGCTCCGATCGAGAAAAAACACACAGAACTCTTGTCTATCGACAAGGGGAACAGCATCGAGTGTTGCACGAAACTTTGCATAAGGCATGGACGGTGGAACTGACGGGAAGGGAACAGACTATTACAATACAACGCTCACAGAAGCTATTAACAGGTTTTTTGTCGTTTGTCGTGTCAATTCCTGTATCTTACAACAAGAGAAAATCCCTGTCCCTCGACATAAGTAAGGAAAACTGGACAACGTACTGCCCCCCCTCCCCCCCCGTCCGCGACCACTATCGACACGCCCTCGCACAATCAACCGCGCCGAAAGGGACGCAAAAATAAATGCATCGACTGAGTCAAATCACCGACAGCAGTAGTGGGTGAAGTAGAATCGTAAAGGTACCACCATCCGGCTGTAACAACGCACAGTACACCGCGTGCCCAACTGTGTTGGATTGCTCGTGCGTTCACTGAGTGACTGACTGGTGACGTGACAAAATAGACAAGACAAACAAAGGAGACAGACATCAACATACATAACAAGAATGCAGTAACGAGACAACGGACGAATATCCAACCGGACCCCAGAACCCCCCCCTGCCCCCCGCCCTCTTTTTTGCCTTTCGCCAGCCTCCATGCCACGTGCACAGTACAGCAATCATGACCGCCTCTTCGGGATAACGAGGATCTACGGAGAACCCGCTGTTGGCGTACAATACTCTAGACAAAAAAACCAAGTAGATAGTATGCGTGCTTCGGCGCCCGAAAGCTCAAACGTTCGCTGCCATTCTCCTTTCTGAAAACACACAAAAACACGTCAAAAGTCAACACATCGCCCCCCGCTACTACGCTACAAAGACTCGTTTTGGTGCCGACCGACGCGTTCCGGGAACCCGAACACAATAGCAAGGAAAAACTTCAACTACTACGATGTTATCGCAAGCTACAACGGACAAGGCCACACATATGCATAGCGAGGGTGAGAATCAATCGGACGACACGCGTAGACACGCAGCGCGCAAGGAAGCACATGCACGTCAACCTTTCAAACACAGGAGATACGCTGGCGTGGGTGGCGACAAGGGAACGGGCGGGGTGGGGGGGGGCTACCCGTGTTACAAATCCACTGGCAACGTCGTTGTCATCACATGGGCATCCATCAGGTCGTCACACCCAGCGCTGTCGTCGAAGGTAGTCTCGAACTCGCAGTTGCTGGATATTTCCGTGGCCGGCGCCGGCGCCGGCATTGCTGATGTCTCAAGCAGCATTCCGCCCTCCCCCGCTTGACGCTGCTGCCACCACGCCCCCTCGGCCTCGCCCATCTTTGTCGTGGCGGGAGCAGGTGCCACTCCTCCCAATTTCCCGGCCGCCGCCGCCGCCGCCGCCGCCGCTGCCCCCGCCCCGCCCCCCGTGGCAGCGCCAAAATAGTTCGTGGAGAAACTCTCGACGACGTCGCCGCCGCAACCGCTGCCGCCGCCGCTGCCGCCGGCCCCGATGCCTTCCAATGGTTGCCGGCTACCAGCTGGTGCCTGAAACTCCATCTTTATAGCCGAGCAGCAAGCAGCGGAACTCATGCCCATGATATCCTCTCCGGCAAACTCGCCGGCGCCGGACGCCGCCGGGAAGGTGTGTAGGGGGGGTATGGGGGCACTGTGCCTACGTTGCACGACGCCGTGACTCTTTGGCCGCGATGATGCCGACTGCTGCCGAGGCAGACGCTGCTGCGGCGGCCCGTTTGCGGAGATCGAGGGTGAATAATTCCGCGACTTCGTTCCCTGCTGCTGCTGCTGCTGAACCTCCCCCGACGACAACACCCACCCGTTATGACGGTGCGCCGGCTTGGGGGCGGTCGTAACGCCGTTCTGCTTGGTACCGTCTCCGAGCCTCATGCTCCAGCTTTGGCCAGAGCTGCTGGCGGCGGTAGCCGATGCCTGGAAGCCAGCGCTCATGGCTCCGCTCGAACCAGCCGCTCCCGCTGCCGCTGCCCCCGCTGAAGGACCGCTCGGAGCGGTCGCACAGCGATCGAAACCGCTTTCCGCCACCCCGCCATGCCGGGGACCCGATGCCCAGCCGCTACTCAAGCCGCTGCTGCTGGAGCGTCGGTGTCCCCTCCCCGAGGAGGGGTCGGCCAGAGCGGCGGCCTTCGCGCTGGCGGCCGGGGCTGGGAAGTACGTGCGGTCCGACCCGCCCAGAGGAGAACACGTCACGTTAAAGCCGGTGCTGCCGCCGGCGCCGGCCGCGGCGCCCCCACCGCTAAGGGGGGACTGCGGGGGAAAACCGACGTGAGGCGAAAGCCCCGCCTGCGGGGAACCGGGGAACCTCTCCGGGAAGCCCCTCGCCCCGACCCGTCGAGACTTGGGGCTCGGCCCCCCCATCAGGCCGTTGGAGCCGAGGGGGTCCTTCGGCGACGGAAGGGCGTAGTGCTCTGCCGGGAATGCCTCGTCCCCGCGTCTCCGGCCGCTCAGGCTCCCGCTCCCGCTCCCGCTCCCGCCGCCGCCGCCGGGGGCCGTGGCATGCGTCCCCGGCGTCCCCGGCGTCGGGGGCCGTGGCGAAGACCCCACCCTCGGGCTGTTGTTCTGCAGGCCGTGCGCCAGCCACAGCCCCCCGCGGGAAGACTTGCCGGGCGTGTAGGGGCGCGGGGGGACCTGGCTGCTCCGCGGCCGGCCCATTCCACGGGGCCCCGGCCGAGGCGGGCCGCCACCGCCGCCGCNCGCCGGCGGTCGCCGAGCCGGCGGCATGGTTGGGAGAGGCGCCGCTGCGGCCGCCAAACATCTGCACGCGCGGCGACCCGGTGGCTCCCGCCGAGCGCGGCGTGCCGCGAGGCACGCCGGCGCCGATACCGGGGCCGCTATTGGCTGCGTGCCCCCCCGCGCGCGTGAGAGGCTGCGCCCCGCTGTTGAACAGGCCGGAGAAGTTTACTCTTTCGAGGCCCTCCATCTTCGGGACCGCGCTGGGAATTTCCTCCCCTTCCTGGATCCCGTCTATCACCCCGGAGAAGTTGTCCATCAGCAGGGCCTCCTCCAGCTCCTGCAGATCTTCCGGCGAGACGCGGTTCCCGGCCCCGCCGACGGCTCCCGCGGCGCCTGAGCCTGAGCCGACGCCGCCCGCCGCGGAAGGGACGCAGCCCAGGTCTCCGGCCGGCGCGGCGTAGCCCGGGCCGCCGTACGGCACCGCCTCGTCGTCGTCGTCGTCGTCGAAGTCCAAGAAGTGCGACGTGTCTAGGCTCTCGATGTCCGTCGAGGCAACCGAGGACGTGATCGAGAGGCGCTCCTTCGGTCGGGGCCGATGACCCCCCGCCGGCGAAGGCTGACGCTGTCCCATACCGTGAGGATATCCCGCGCCGCCACCGCTCGGGGTACCCGCCAATCCGGTGGGCCGCAAGGCGAACGGCGGGGACTGCTGCAGCACCACGCTGGTCACCGCCGCCGCCGCCGCCGGCGAGTACCTCCCCGACAGCGAGCCTCCTCCGGGGGATAACGCGCGCTCGCCCGGACCGGGGCTGCTACCGGCCACGAGGGTGGCGTCGCTGCTCGCGGGGCTGTCGAGGAGGGCGTCGTGCGAGAAGCCCTCGCCTTTCGCGCGCGCCCCGTACTGTTGTTGTTGTTGTTGTTGTTGTTGTTGTTGTTGTTGTTGTTGCTGCTGCTGGTGCTGCTGCTGGTGGTGTTGCTGTGAAACGGTGGTGCTGCTGGTGCTGCTGTTGTGCCCCCAGCCGTGGTGGGCGTAGTCCTCCGCGCTGCTGCCGTGGGCACTGTTGCCGAGGCTGCTCAGCGCCGGCGACACGCTCGTCGTGTCCGAGGCCGACGACTCTGGGTGTTGGACGCTGCCGTACGCGTGCTCGATGATCGCCGCGTACTCCTCGTTGGAGGTCGCGATCGCGTCGACGATGGCCGGGGGCCGAATTTGGCGACGAGACGCGCCGCCGCAGCCTCGGGCAGATCGCGCGCTGGTCGAACTCGAACTCGAACCCGAAGCAGCAGCAGCAGCAGCAGCAGCAGCAGCAGCAGCAGCAGCACCCGTCTTCGCCACCAGTTTTATCGCGGTAGCCCTGACGGACGGCGGCTGAGGCGCCGTCCCGTTGCTGGCCTGGACGCAAGCCGGCAGGGAGCCATCCCGCTGGACGGTAGCGATGAGGTCCCCGAATGGCTTCCCCTTGACCCGCTTGCGCTTCGTGATGGTCTTGAGCGCGTCGCTGAGCTTGGACATCAGCTCCGGGTTGCCGAAAATGTCGTCTTCCGACACGTTTGCCGTGTCCGCCAGGTAGAGGGCATTGCGCACGTTAGGATCGACGCCCGCCGCCGCACCTCGAGTGATGAGCTGCTTCTTTTTCTCAGCGTCCTCCAGGGCCTTGCAATACCTAATTACCCGAAAAGCCGACACACGGATTATATTCCCGGATTTTCGTTGAAAGAAAGACCGGAGACGAGGGGGGGGGGTGTACTCATAGTCGTGCATGCCGTAGTCGTTAGACCATTGACCTCGCATCCCTACAAAGCCGGGACGGAGCACGCCGGGTTCTCACCGGACCAGGCTCTCACATCACCAAGCGCGAAGCGCCGTGAGATATTCGGCGAGTCGCATGAAGGGTGCGCTGCATCCTGCTAAGGGTGTTCGGCATCTTGTGCTTACTTCCTTGCGTACGGATGACAGCTGCGTATGAATTAATTTATTTTCTGGTGCTTTCACTTCCAGAGACAGTTGTAAGCACTGTGTAACTGCCTCGAGGGTGCTTGACCATTTTAACACAACGTGGTGCGATCATCCCCCTTGCGCGGAGCGAGTGTTCTCCACCCCGCACAACATGGGGGGGGGTTACAAGCACGCCCAGGACTGCGGTCTTGTCTACATTTGACGCGCAAGGGAGAGAACATACACACAAGAGCTCAAAAAGGCTGCAGTTTCGACATCAACACTGATTCTCCTGCCAGCAACACAGCAGTCCGCTCGCGGATGAAACTGCTGTCCCATTGTCATGTAGAATGGGTCAGTCTTCCACGCTGTGCTGTTGGCGTCTACGGTTGCTGTGTCGAGCGACACACGGGTTTTCGTAGTCAGAACATGCACAACGCCTTGCAACACGAGTGCGCTTCAGCATGTCAAGGCCAGTTCCTCCCGAAGATACTTGATCTTCGAAAGTGCGGAAGTGTATCGAAGGGGTTGACAACAGGTACTATAATACTTCTTACAGTAGTTGGCGGCGGGCAACCGGTCGAGAAAATACCCCGTCGTTCGAAAACATGAGTTTTTTTAAGTCTTCACGGCGGGTTGATACGGCTGGATCCTGGACATTTTCAAGGCTGTTCCAAGCCGATACATGTCACGTGTGAGAATAATTGGTAAAGAGCTACAAGTATATACTTCGAAGTACTTCGAAGTATATATTTTTCTGCCATCATTGGACTCTGTCGTCTGCCTCTCTGGCCCCCATCCTCCACTTCTACTAGCTAGACGACCCAACCGGGGTCACATACGAGGGGGGGGGTCGCACCCCCTCATGCGGTTCCTGCCTGAGATATTTTTATCGCGAGAAGGGTACAGCAATCCCTTCCCTCGCAACTTGTGAAGTCGAGCTTTGCAGCGCTGTGTACCTGCCGGGACACCAACTCCTCAAGAGGAACGGAAACACACAACAAATAAAGAGCACCTTGTGCAAATTTCCACGTCCCATCAACGAAAAGATGCAGCCGAAAGCCCTCCGCGATTATTACGTTACGAAAACGGAAACGAAAAGCGTTGGTATTTACGTCGAGGAATCTCAACGACGGACTATTGCACCCGGGTGGAACGCTGCCGCGCTGCCTCAATGCATGTCGCGTTACCCTTGTTGATCGAACCCCCAGATGAGAACGCTGCTTAGACACAAAGAGCCGGTTTATCTTGGTTAAGTATCTGAGAAGCTAGGGGTGGCCGCAAGATAATCACACAACACATGAGGGCGCCTGCAGCAGCTTCCCGCCTCGCCAGGAGCAGATGGTTCCAAAATCTATCCCCCGACGCAATCTATTCATATGCACGCATCATGAGATCCCGAGCTGAATATAACAGGTGCAAAGCGGCGGCTCAAAAACTCTTCTTCGAGGAACAACGCTCCGCATCCCTCACGTCAAACACTACTGCTTCACGAAAATGTTGAGGAGAAAAAAGGGTGGTGGAATAACGTGCTATGTGGTTGATGAGGCAGACATCGTACATTTGAAATACGCATGTAGCACTTGCTCTGCACTCGCTCATTTTCGTAATTACCCGCCAAAGCCCGCTAGTTGCTCAGCAACAGCGAGACAGTCAGGACAGAGGGTCTTTTTTCACTGAACCGCACACGACAAACGATGGACAGACCACACATGAGAAGAGCGAAACAAGAAAAAACAGGACCCCGCACACGAAAGAAAAACGCACCTGGCTCGATCTGCCTCGGTCCTTGCACCCTCGAGCTGGTCATGAAGGTCCTCCATGGCTTTGTTGATAGAATCGATTTGCCTGAACGGCCACCGGGGCATGCCAAGCTTGCGACATAGTCTCTTGATCATCTGTTCATGCCAAGTGCAACGGGCGAGAGAAGAGTATCAGGCGTAGGTGAGAACATCGTTGTTATTTGGCACAATAATTTCATCCCAAGGTGCCCTTGCGAAGACTTTCGTGCCGCTTCTTCTGCTGTACGACTCCCTCAAAATCAAACGCACGTCCTCTTGCTGCCGTGATCTGCGCGCAACGAACGGCCCTAATCAACGTCGACTTATCCTACAGTCTGCTGCACGCCTTGGGGAAAGGTTTCTCGCGCATGAGACACGAAGGAGGGCGGGAGCATCATGCACGGCTCGGCGGTCCCGCAACTGCTGTCTGACAGAAAACCTGTGAATTGATCTGTGTCTCGGCTTGCTCAAACTTGATGGCAAAGCGCTCATCGTCCCTGCTGCTGGTCTACATCCACGTACACAGCAGCTGCCTCCTTCCCTAGTCTCACCGTCAGGCTGACGCCGAGCTCATCGGCGACGACCACCAACGGCTGGTGGAAGTGCTGCTGTAGGACCTCGATGGTAATGCCTGAAGATTCCTTCTCCTCCTCGGCTACACCTGTCGCTCCTGCCGCCGTTGCTGTTGTTGTTGTTGCCTCTGGTGAGGCTCCCATCATGATTTTTCTGGGTGCGTGGGCCGCTGCAGCACGGTGGGTCGCACTCTGCTGCACGCGGAAGGTTCTCCGCCAACCGCCTTTGTGAGACTCAAAACGCTATCGGGTACGGGGTGCGTCTTTCAGGCTACCTTCGTGTCGACCTATTGCCTGCCATGGTGTAAACAGGGAGCGAACAGGACCAAAGAAACAAAAATCGAGTTCAGCACCTGCTACATATTTTGAAAACCCGGGGAAGGAGAGAGGATATCCCCGCCTTGAATTTGTTGTTATTTATGTTGTTGTTTATGTTGTTGTTTATGTTGTTGTTTATGTTGTTGTTTATGTTGTTGTTTATGAGGTTGTTTATGTTGTTGGTAATGTTGTTGTTGTTGTTGTTGTTGTTGTTGTTGTTGTTGTTGTTGTTGTTGTTGTTGTTGTCTTCACATTGAAAACCGTTCCGATCTCTCTCTACCCAGTACCTTCGTATGTCCGTACTGGTATAACAGTCGACGCGGTCGATTCCCGTGGTCGCAGGCTAACTTAATGGCATGTATGCAACACACCGTCCATGATACATAGTCTAGAAAAGAAACGTGTGGCACCATCACGGGCGTGGCTAGGCCGACCAATGGATCAGGTTGCAGGCACGAGACTGTCTGAATGCACGAAACACACACGAACAAGTTAATTGAGCAATAATATTATCAGTTGTTGCGCCGTTTTGACAACACGCAGCTAATAAACGGCGAGACTACCCGTCCAATCCATCAACATCCACCCGTCTGTTTACACTTCTGCATGCAGTGAACCGCATGTTACTGCCGTTGCGCCACATGTGGGAAAGCAACCCTTGTACTTACTTCTCGGGATGGATCTCCGACTACAAGGCTCGATTAGCCATGGGGTATGGAGGAGCGCATTGGGATGTGCATTTTAATGCGGTGCGGGGCTCTACATTATTATTGACAAATATCTCGTACTTCGAAGTAGATGGAGTAAATGTACCGATTAGGAGACACCCCCCGATCCATTAAGAGACACATTTTTTCAAGGGGATTGGACAAAATCGGGACGTCCCTGGGGTACAATGTGCAAAATCGGGACGCC